AAACTAAATACATGATATTTAGTAACAAAAAGAGAACTGTTGATGATACATTTAAAATTGAGGGTGTTGAGATTTGTAGAGTTAATGAGATGAAATTTTTGGGTGTAATCATTGATGAACAGCTAACATGGAAAAATCACAAATTTGTAAGAACAAAAATAGCTAAATCTATTGTAGTACTATACAAAGTCAGGGTGTAAGGGTCCCACTGCCTGCAGCCTGCCTTGCTGATGGCCGCTGATTACCAACACCTGGCGGTCATCAGCCTGATGAGCCTCTCCATCTACAAAAGGCTGCAGCCCAGTGTGACTCATCGCTGGAGCATATCACCTCTCATGGTATAGTACTATTGAGCTAGATATGTCTAGGTGAAAAGAATTTGTTCACCTGTGTTCTCTTTTCCAGTTTCCTGGTTCCTCGTGTTTTTGGATTCTCCTCGTGACCTGATCTGGATCCCTCGGCCTGTCAGGTATTCCTCGTGCCATTTTTGCCTCCAGTTGCCAGCCTTCCTCGTGCCCTTGGACCCTCGTTGGTTTTCCTCTGCTGCTCTCTCCCTGGACTGAAGGACCAGCTCCCCTCCTTCGGGTTTGGACTGTAAGGACAAGAACCTCCTTCAAACAACCACTCAGGTCTTCCCCTTGGACCAACACTAACCTGTCGTCCCTCTTTCCAGGAGTGCTGAGTTCCAGCGTGTGAAACATTTCACTGTACATAATAAACACTGTTCTTTTGTATTTCCCCTGTGTCTGCCTTGTTCTGGGTCTCAAACTATCTGGGTTCCCCGCGTAATCCTAACACAGGGAATTATTAAATGATAAAGCTCTGTACATGTTGTATAACACAATCATTGTTCCACATTTAATCTATTGCATTGATGTTTGGGGGAAAGCGTGTAAAACATTTAAAAGCTTATTTTTATTTACAGAAAAGAGCTGTAAGAATTATCACTAGAAAGCATTAGTCACCCATCAAGCACATTATTTTATCAACTGAAGTTATTGAAGTTCCATGATTTGGTAGATTATAGTATTTTATCAGTTATGTATAGGGCTCAAAATAACACATTACCATTAAATATCCAAAGAAATTTTGTAAAAAGACAAAGTTGCTATAATCTTAAGGGGATAGAGATATTTGTCAAACCAAAATTCAGAACTAGTCTGAAGGGAAGGTCTACCTCAATCCAAGGAGTTGGATTGTGGAATGGTCTAGAGAGTGATGTGAAAAATGCCAAGTCAATGTGTACATTTAAGAAAAAGATCAAAGCTGGATTGTTAAAAAAGTATATATGAAGTAGCTTAGTGTGTGTTTTGTATTAGAATTAGAAAAATTAAAAAGAGTTATTCATTTTGTTCTGTTACTTGAAAATTATTATGATTGAAATAATTGTTTGAAAAAAGGGGCAGACATAATAAGATTTTTTTCTTCTTTCTGCTGCCTTTCATTTTAAATCTTTTGTATCTTTTTTTATATTGTTATGGAATTGTTTTGTACTTTTTTAAAATGAATAAACTTTATACCATACCATACCAAAAGGCTGGCACTTCCATAGACTCGCAATAACAGGAAGTGGCCCAGCACCAGGAGACGCTACTTCCGGTTGTCATGAAAAAAATTTATTACCTGCGCACAATACTGGCTAGCTAAAATGCTAAAAACAAAACACGTGGCTCGGCTGCGTTTCTCCATCTAGCTCTAAACTGCAGATACAGACAGTGACAGATCAACTGTCTCTCCCTCCCCCACTCAGCACAGCTCAGCTTTTTTCGCTCCCCTCACCCCGCTCTGCTGCCGGTGCGGGCACAGTGGGTCCCCCCCGCTCTAAACTGCCGGTACAGACACGCACAGGTCATCTGTGTCTGTTGAGTTCCACAGTCCATGGACCAAGAACAGAGTCAGGTGATCAGAACATCAGAGAAATGAATAATTCCTGCAGGAACAGAGGAAGCTGAAACACCACAAGCTTCAGGGTCAGCTGCAACATATATTTTGTTGTATGTTACATTTATGCTCAACAGATGTTAAGCTTCATTTTATTTAGTTATTTTGGGAAATTTCACCTGCACTTTAGTTTTTGTGGTGGATTTTGTTGATCTATATTTTGTGCAGACGTTTTCAGTCTAAATAACAGAAGGATAATTTTTATTTTATATTTTTATACTTTGAGACTGAATACTTTACTAAATAAAGTAATTTCATTAAAACTAACCCTTGTTATTTTAGTTTTTATATAATACTGCAAAGCAACGTTAAGTTAATTTTGTCAAACGAATAACTATGATTTCTGTTTTTTTGTTATATCACAAAATTTTTCGTTATTGTCAGAATGTTCTGAAATATCACAATATTATATTTGAGCCATATCGCCCACCCCTAGATGGATGGATGGAAGGTTGAATGATGATGGATGGATAAGTAACAGTATCTACTGAGCCTTGTTGTGTGATGTGCTACAATATTTGAAGGGGTTCATATGAATTCTTAATTATTTTTGTCTGAAACAGCAGCATCTGTCAACATTTGAAAGTTTCTTTTATGTTTTGTCTTAAAAATAGTATTTTCCTTAATTAGACAATGTTAATATTTTGTGAATTTTGACGTCTCAACGGTTTTAGAGAATGTTAAACTTGTATTTTTCTGTCCTGTTAAAGCTCAGAGCATAGAAACTTATATGGTTGTTGGTTTCATTCTTTGTACTCCCAGCGCGGGACACACTCCTCAAAAGATCCAGCACCTGTCCAACAGTGACCTGCTGGACATCTACTGTTCTCAGTGCTGCAAGAAAGTGAATCTCCTCAATGACCTGGAGGCTCGACTTAGAAACCTCAAAGCCAACAGGTACAGCAAACAGGCATGGACACATGACACTGACCTCTCTCCATTACTAACCCATCTTTACATTAACTGATCATCGCCCGTCCACTACAGGCGAAGGCAGATAATGTTTTTGTTCCTGTTTGTGTGTACGTGTGTGTTATCATGTGAATCAGAGGAAGAATTTCAAATAAACTTTCAGAAAGTACTCACTAGATGTACATCTACAACTGATTACTTTTTAGAGTCAACCAGATTGAAGATGGTCGCTACAGCAAACTCACTTTAGAAAACACAAATGGTTATAATGCAGTCAGTTTTACAGATATGAGCTAAGAAATAGTGTGGATGTAGCTGAGGGTCCTTCACAACACCTGCTGAGCGTGACATTTCACAATATTGGGTGAGATTGTGGATGGCGTTATTTTTAAGGTTAAGCTTAAATGACTACAACTCCTTTATTTTTGGCAGTATGATGGATCAGTGGTTATCACTGTTGCCTCACAGCAAGAAGGTCCTGGGTCCAATCCCTGGTTGGACCTGGGATCTTTCTGTGTGGAGTTTGCATGTTCTTCTTGTGCTTGTGTAGGTTTTCTCCTGGTACTCCGGTTTCCTCCCACAGACCAAAAACCTACAGGTTAGGCTGCCTTCAGGTCCAGACCTCAATGGGATTTACCTGGTTAAATAAAGGTTAATAATAAATAAATACATTTTTCATCTTACTTTGGTAGCAATATGCATTACTTTAAGGAAGGAATTTTAGGCGTGTGTGTGTGGGGGGGGGGGGTTGGAAGGAGGGGTGAATTGCTCAGCTGAATTCCATAACACTTGTTGGGAAGTTGGAATGGTGCTTTAAATTGTGATCCAGAAGAGACTCGTCTGACTATGAATTAAGAAAAAAAGCACTCTTTGAGCCTTTTTTCCAATACTGAAGCGAAGGAAAATCTGTGTGTGTGTGTGTGTGTGTGTGAAGACAAGTGACCATTCATCACAGACCGCTCACAACAACAAAGACAACAAAACACAAAGACACAAAGTCTTTTTGGGTCCAAATGA